ATGTCACGCAGAGAGGCACAAGGTCCAGCCCTACAAGAGAGATCATCCAGGCTCAGCTGTGGCTCATCCTCATGCCACAGGGCCCCCAGCGACAGCACCTGCTCTGAGGGCAGAGCTGGGCTGCACCAGGGGATCGACTGCCCCTGGCTCCTGCCCTCACTCTTAACCCTCCAGAGCGTCCTGAAGATCCCAGCGTCGAACATGGGCACCACAGCCGAGATGATGACAGCAGCCAGAGCCGCTTTGGGGATGTAGTAGAAGAGCGAGGTGAGATATGCCAGTGAGAGAAGGACCAGGGCACCTGTGGGACATGGGGAGCACCTGAGCCGTGGGGTCCCTGATGCCCAGGGCTCCAGGCCCTGCAGAGCTGCCCACGGCAGGGTCAGGGCTCTACCTGTGACGAGTCCTCCCGCCGGGGTGCAGACCCCGGACTGCGCGTTCACCGCTGTCCTGAAATGCAAACCAACACATGTCCCAGGCTGTGCAGGGGCTGCCCACTGGGGGCTGCACGATATTCCACCCAGGATCTTGCAGAGCCCCCTCATCACACAGCCCCAGTGAGTGTCCTGTGGGTTGGGGTAGCTCCCCATCCCTGCTACCCACCGGCCAAAGCTGCCCGTGATGGGATACGATGAGACGAAGGAACCCAGGATGTTGGCAACACCTGCAGTGGGGAAGGAGAGGGGCTGGGTGGCATCACCAAGGCCATGAGACAGGTCTGTGTCCCTGTCACCACCTCCTCTATCCCCAGGGCTGGATCACTGCCCATCCAGCCTGTACGTGTGACTTAGCTTGCTCTGGAAATTCCTATGCCGTGACAATGGCTTGGGTGGAAGCAGCATGCAAGGTGAGACAGGGAAAAACTTCAGGTAGAGGTAGGACTGCTACCTCTACCTGAGATGGGGATCTCAGGTAGCTTAGGGACTGAGACACACAGTGGTACTGGGACCAGACCCCCACCCTGCACCAAGCAGCCTCTTACCCAGAGCCAGCAGTTCCTGGTTGGGATGGATCCTGTAACCATTCTGCGAGGCTGAAAGGAGATACTGGCATCAGCCTGAGATTCCTGCAGGCACAACCTGCCATGTGCACAGAGCAGGGCCAGCAGCAACTGGAGCAGTGTGAGCCCTGTCCTGGCACTCCCCAGGCACAGGAGCACCCTGAGACAACACTCATCTCCTGGGCAGATTTCAGCTGTGCACCCCACGGGACCCCTCCTGCCAGACCACATGATGAACCAGGCTTGGTATGGGCAGCCCAGTCCTTCCCACTGCCCTTAGCACCCTGAGTCCTTGCAAAGCCCCCTCCCCAGCACCCCAAGCCCTGCAGAGCCCCCTCCCCAGCACCCCAAGCCCTGCAGACCCCTCTCCCCAGCACCCTGAGCCCCTGCAGAGATCCCCCACAAGTGCGGGGCAGGACCCTGGCACAGCCATACCAAAAGCCTTGGCAATAGCGATGGTCTCCAGCAGGCCCATGAGTGGAACCACGGCCAGCCCGACCCCCATGTCCTGGGAGGGAAGGATGCAGTGAGGAAGGGCCAAGTGGGGCACCACTGTAGAGCCTTGTACTGCTACATGGGGAGCCAGCACAAGAGATCCCCCACAAGTGCGGGGCAGGACCCTGGCACAGCCATACCAAAAGCCTTGGCAATAGCGATGGTCTCCAGCAGGCCCATGAGTGGAACCACGGCCAGCCCGACCCCCATGTCCTGGGAGGGAAGGATGCAGTGAGGAAGGGCCAAGTGGGGCACCACTGTAGAGCCTTGTACTGCTACATGGGGAGCCAGCACACGCAGGGGGAACAGTCTCCAGCCCAGCACCCCCCTCCACCATGGTCTGGAAGGACACAGTGCCGTTGGGTGCCACCAGGGAGAAGCGAGGCAGCCGTAAGGGAGGGAGGCCCTGGGGGATGGGGCCAGTGAGTGTGAGGGGCTGGGAGCCCATCACCTGGAAGGAGTAAGCAACCAGGCCAGCAAACAGGACGACGAGGGCATTGCGTGCTGCAGCAGAGAGAACAATCATTGAAACCTGCCCCGAGTCCAGGGCAGCAGGAGAGATGGCACGGGGTTCCAAGCCTTAGGAAGGGGCATGTACAGTGACAGGAGCACCCTCGGGACTTTGTCCTCCCCGACCCACCTCCAGGTCTTGATTCCTGTCAACTTGGGCTTTATATTTTGGGCAGTCTCTTCCCTGCCTCATAGAGACAAGCCTGTGAGAGGGATGTCCAGGAAACAGAACAGGGCAGGGGATGACTGACACACCTGTGGCAGAGATCCAGACAATCCAGTAGCTGAACCTGGTAGCCAGTGGCTCCCCAAAGGAAG